TTTTTTTAATGTTGTACAGAGATCCAAATCTACGGCCATCGTTTGCTGAAATCATGGCTGCCCTAAAACCACTTCAGAAGCCTATAACCAGTTCACAAGCGCCAAAACCGAGCAGGAGACCTGAAAAGGCATAGTCTAATGCTGTGAACTCGGAAAATCAAGTCGACTTTAAAAGCTAGAGAGGTGCGCAAAATATATATTTTTTCTCTTTCCGATTGATCGAGTGCCTACGCAACGAGACTCTGTTCAGGCATGTGCATCATTGTTTTCAACATCATTGTTTGGGGGTTGATTGTTCATGGAAGAATCGCTTGTTTTTATCAACCCCTTTGTATTTTTGGCTTTGTGATGCCCACTTTCCCGCCCAATTGTGCAGTTTGTATTATGTACATTGACGTGAATTTGTTGTTATGAACAACGTTTGATGTAGGGATATGTGTGTTTGCGATTTAATGGGAGAAATATTTGTAATTGTAACCCAAGAAAAATGAATAGTCAATTGAATGTCGATGTTGCTCAGAACCCCATTTTTTCCATTCAATTATTTTGTCCCACAAGAACCCAATTGCTCAAATCCATGCGAAAATTCGTCAATCTTGTTAGGGCTCGTTTACTTTAAAGTATAACTAAAATTATTCCACGTTTACTTTAAAGGATTGAAATATGATTATCCTATGTGGAGTACATGTGGCATGTGGGACTCACATGCGTATCAAGTATTTGTCGATTATTCCATCCCAGCCTAGACCCCTGATTTTTTTATCCTGACTTCAAAATGACCATTTTGTCTTCAAAAGTGCTTGTGAAAAGACAAAAATACCCCTTAAATTCCTTTTATTTGCAATTAAAAACCATATAAATATTAAAACATATTTCATTTGCAGAGGCGGGCTCCCCCAATTTCATTTTAGACTATTTTTATCTCCAACTCAACCTAACCCAATCTAACAATAAAAAATTATTTTTCTCTCCACCCCTTACACAACTTAACCTTACAACTAAATTTATTTTTATCGTCAAGTCAACTCAACACAAATATTTATTTTATTTTAGTTTATCTGAAAAATATAATTGTGTTTCAAAATATATCAAGTGTGGTCTCTATTTGTAGATAATAAAAAATATAAATTGTAGTATTTATTTTTTATTTTTATTTTAAACATAAAAATTATTTTTAGCCAATCTAAAGGGGACATGTGTCTCATTTTAACACCAACCAAGGT